TCGTCTCTCGTCTTGAGAGATTTCGCAGAATCGTTACTTTCTTCATCGTGGTTGTCAGAGTACGTCTAGAGAAACAGAACCCAGCGGCACGAGGACCTGGAGAGCTGGAGAGCTTCGAGGGGATGGTCTTATTGCGATAAGGAAAACCCACTTAAAGCGACAAGTTGTGCCACGTGAAAACGTTTAGGAAAACAGAGTAGAAAAATTGTGCCAAATTGATAAGAACGAGTTGAAGACAGAACGTGCTCTAGGAAAATTACTGCTCGATATCAGGAGAGCAAGGGTAGATAAAGCATATTCCAGTTGATTAATCATGGAATAAAATTATACGCTGAGCCATCCTAACCGGGAGCTGTTTATCGAAGAAATTATTTGAGTGCCGCGCAAGCGCCACGAGCAAATATGTAGAGTCTCTTACTTGCCAAATGAATCTGCCTGGCAATGGAATAGAAATGAATCCCATCCTCCTGCCTGGTTCTCTACAAATATTCCACGCTCCAATTTTTTCGGGTACGATGTAAATTTATGGCCAAAGATCGACTTGCCGATCCTGCAGTGCAAGTTTTTCTTAATTATTATCAAATTAATGTTTTTCATTTTTCTTTTTCATCTCCATGTTCGCTATCATTAGCATTACCTAAATTTACAAGCATTTCGTTTTATCGAGTTACGACCAATGATGTCAAAGCGGCCTGGGGCGCAGGGGACGTTGCGCAGCTCCATTATGCAAATTGATTAGCAGCCTCCCTGCTAAAAGTTTACATCCTTTTCGTTCTTTCCCAGCCATTTCGCGTTATCGCATATGGCGCCTTCCCAGTTGTGTTAATGCGAATTCCAGTCTGCTCGATTAACGATTATGTTTTATGTATTCGCATCAAAACCTCCATACGGCTCGAACGATTTTCCTAGGCGTTTGGCAGACGCGGTTCCAGGTAGGAACGAGACTAATTCAAAGGCGGAAATGTCCCTCGTAGCTGCATTCCAGCTAGCTCAAGGAATGCGTTTATTACATAGCTCGCGGGACGATATCGTGCGTTCGAGGATTCTGCTATTCGTCCGTTCACGGAATTCCGTCGATTTTCGTGGATATTCCACCGAAAGCGTGACTGCGATCGTCAATAATTTTTCCTATGTTATCGAGATGCCTAGAAACTCCTACCAATTTACAGAAACACGTTTCATTGGAAGTCGCATATCGTGCCGATATGATATCCGGATGACGATGATAATCTGCGTCCAGATGTCTCTTGATTTACAGCAAAATCTTTAAAAACCACAGCAGCGCGCTCGCGTGACGATCTTTGGTACTACCGAGGCCCTCCGCGGTCGAACATTTGGACGTTTTTCGTGTGCTTAGCCGTCATCGGCAACTCGACGATTTTTCAAATTAGTCTGTGCTTGGACTCTCGCAACTCGAAATGCTATAGTTCAGTCAAAGAGCCTGGTACCGGTGAAGATTGTTTCACACCTGGATGATCGAGAGTCCTTTGAGATCAAAGAAATTCCTGGCCGCGTATAGTCGATACAGTCGATACAATCGATCGATACAATTTTCCGCTAGAATATACTTGGCTCGCTCTTTATCTTCTTTTGCTTATCTTTTATTAAGCATGTTGGCTGTGAATATTGAACCGGGAAAGTTATCCTACGCGCTACTAAGAACTAGAAGCTAAATTAAATACAGATTAAAAACGATCTAACTAAAGAACTCGAAACAAGGATGCTTCGTAAGTTAAATTTTCCATTTGAACCGAACAAAAATATATTGTTTAAAGTCTTTATCGAATTTCCCAACAATGCCGAGTAACGAAAGTGACCTGAAATTTTACCGGTCAGATTTGTCTCTTAAAATACCTTATCCTCCACGGGCCTTGTGCAACGTAGCGCGTAAAACAGTAACGGCGAACAAAAACGCTCGAGTGGCTAGAACCAGCATGACTGCCTATGTTGCCGTTGACACGTTTGCAAATGAAAATAGTTTTCCTGCACAGGCGCTGCCTGTTTTAAAACAATCCCGAGCCGCTGCCTATCAATCAATCCTGAACAATAACTCCGCGCTATGAATAAATCATGTCGACTTTTCATTGTGGCTGCAATTCTCCTAGTGGCACCTCCATATCCGTTCTCACATTTCATAAACCGTCTTCTAATACTTCAAAATCCTTCCAGACACTTTCCGTGAAATATTTCTTGATTACTTTCCTCTCTAAAGTCCCTTCAATCCTGGTTCCAGTCGAGGATTTGGAGGTCTTCTTAGGCTACCTAATCGTCCATCCAGTTGAATGAGTTAATGGCAGATGGCCTTCCACTGGAAATGCTAATTACGGTTCAGTCATGAAAATTCATCAAACCGTAAATACACACAGCATCTTCTAATAAAGGAAAGCGATGAACCAAGTCGTACCACTTTGCCCACGTAGTCGAGCACTCTCGCCATTCGGATCTGTAGATTTCCTATTTGTTATTGGATGGTCCATATCCTATGGACAAATTTTTACCCATTCAGACACCGATACCAAAACATTCTTGTTCCGTCCTTTCGGGAAATTTCAATTGGCGATATTTTATCTCGTTTCCTTATAAAAATCTGATGCTGCTCTTTTACTTCACCGCGCAATGCAAAACCACGGGTCACCGTAACGATGTGCGAACTGCCTGGTGTTGGACGGTCGCCGTTGAGTCGTGTGAGGGATGCTGGCAACTAAATTTCGTTGGGCATTAAAGCCTACGGGAAACACGTGTGTCCTGAACTTTCCTAACTGGGCACAGACGTGCAGGCCTTATTTTATTCACTTACTATGGCACACAAGCATATCCTGCAGAGTCGATACGCTCTCGATGATCCTGTACAGTCAATGGACCAATACTCGACTCTGGCTGAGCTTTAATCAAGATCTCCCAAAGCTGCCTTCTCTGCTTCGGTTCGGGTTTGCTTCGGCTGTCGAACGGCTGTTTCTTCTTACTATTAGGGTGGTATCAGTGACTGGATCTTGTATCATAATGCTGAGACACATGTCAATATCGGCTTCATATAGGGTCTAGTCGTGTATCTTACGACCAATAAATGATTAACAATACTTACTAGAAATATCTATACTATAAGAAGGTAATTACTGTTATAACTGCCGGGAAAGCCCCTTTATGATTATTGGATCGAATTATTTTACGTTTACTGCAGTTCTTGCCGTTTTCATAAAGTCGCCCTTCGACTCGGTCATTCGTCTGCCATCTAGTAGGTACATAGTATAGTATATACTATACGGTGCATGTAACACGTAGACGAAGTAGGATGATCGTCGTAAAAGATAATTAAATAAATTTTACTAGCTACACGGTTACGGTGCCGAAAAATCCATGATCCCTCAGAAAAGGATGGATCCTCCGAGTTAATCCGGGTCTTTTGAATTTCTCTGAGAGCTTACGCCAGGGTCATTAAAAAAATATCAAGATCTACAGTAGGCTTACCCATGGAAAACAGTTTACTCTTAATTTTTTTTTTTCTAATCCGTCTGCGAATTCTTCTACGTGTTTGCAAGATATTCACATTGTGAAAGTAATTTCTCTTCACTTGAATGGACAATTATTTTATATCAACTTTCACCTTGAGACACTGCTTTAAGGGAGAATTTCGTACGTCGCAAGTGACTCTGCATGTGTCTATCAATATCTCTCGGTAATTAGCAGGAACGAAAATAAGATTTAATTTCAAGGAGGGATGGACGTTTGCATCAGTCACTATGGACTCGGGTTCCTTGTCAAAGTTTACACGGCCGCAAGTAAAAGATTTACAGGAGCAAGGGGGAATTGCAAAAATTGCAATTTCCGTGTGCATACTTATTTTAGCAATACCGTAATTCCCACGTTCCCCGTCTTCTCGCGAGATAGAGTTAAATAAAAAGTGCTAGTTGCAATATAGTCGGGAGCACGTCACCCCGGGAATGTTCCTGAACGCAGTTTATAAAAGCACAGCGCGAGTTAAAGGGTCGTTTTGCTGTCAAGAGAGGCGATTTAAGATCTGACAAGAGAACGTAAATTCGCAGACCGCGAAAGAAAAATGGGATAAACATTTTCTGTTAATTCCTTAAACCAGGTTCCGGTGAAGATTCATCAAATTCTTGGCAAGAATTATGTATGACGTACACGACGAATTTCTCCGACAATTTTTGCACTTCACGTCGCGGACAACATTGTGCGAAGGCTAAAAGAAGAAAATGATTAATTTGCCATTTTTCCATTATTTTCCGATTTTCTTCTGTTAAAAGCACGCGCGTGTCCAGAGCTTGAATTACAATCCTCCTACATCCATTCCATTCTGAACCGCGTAATTCTCTTGAATGAATTGAATCTCCAGGACCAGCAGCATCTCCGCGCGCTCTCTTTCTTCATCTCCATCTCCGTCTCTCTCTCTCTGTGCTTTGTTTAAATTAAGAAAAGGACGGGGAGAGCGTGGATGAGGATGATGGCGATTGGTAGACTGGTTGATGGACGCACTTTAAACTTTCGCAGGCGGTGGTCCAGCTGTCGAGCGTCAACCATCTTCTTCACTGAAGCTGCTAAGTGGATCGCCACTTTAACGCAGTTGTTTTCATTACTTTAATTATTAATGGATTTCTCAGGAGTAGAGAGATCCACCGGAACTGCTGCATCCTCAGTTCCGCTACGTGAAACGACGTATCCTTACTATATAGAATAAGCCACCGATGCGTAGCACTTGCAACGTATTCTTCCTCAAAGAATAGACTCTTTTGAAATTGGAAAAGCCACGGATCGTCATCTCCGCTGCAGCGTATACCGTAAGGTAATTCGATCCTGTCCTGACATCTCATATTTGCTCTTGCATGAGCCGAGATGATGCGTGGACGCATAAGTTCCTACGATACCCGACTTATTGCTGAATTAATGTTACTGATGGTTTAAGTAATCGCTCGTGATTGTTTTTGCCTTTCGTGCAGAGGAGACGTAGAAGATGAAAAAGATATTAAATGAATGAAGATAACTGGTGAGGGCATACAAGGAGATATATTTGATGATTGCAAGAAAAACAAATATCGTATCTTGTATTCGATATTGTCTGCTAATGCACTCAGTTTAAGGGCCTCCAGGTCTCTCAAGATTAATGATATCCAGTTGGACTGGAAGGTTTGCAGCTGCTTTTCTCCGGCTGAAGATGATTTTCTGGTTGAATCTGATGTCAGGTGATGCGCAGATTCCTTTAATGGATAGACGATATCTCGCAGGAGTAGCGATAGTAATTCTCCCATCGTTGCCTGAACGATCATTATGCAAACGATCCGCGGCGTTCAAGTCAATTGCCTCGCAGTAGTGCGGATTATGTTTGAGAATATTTTCTTCAAATTAATCATTTATTAAATTAAATAGGATTTGATAGCGTCTATACGTCATGTAGGTATACTGGGAACTATGAATATTTTTTTTAACGGGAGTTTACTTCTATCACTTTATAATATTATATGCGACAAAGAACTCCAAATATATTGGATATTCATTTATCATAGAAATCTACGCAAATATTTATATTGAGAGGTATCGATCTTCTATTTAGGGAATGCTTCGGAGTACTTCTTATCCAGACTTGTACATTTTCTGTGGTAGAAAAACGTAAATACCAAATTCTCATAGCGCTTTAGTTAAATTCAAAGTGTTTCGAAAGCACGATATAACCGCATGTATACCTTTAGGTTGAAAATAGTTGCATGAATAGGTAATTTGTGAAACCCTGTGGGATAAACACCACTCACCGTTAGATGTTAACCAACTCCAGAGAGAATATTTCCATTTTTTTTTTTTTTCGGTTGAACCGGAATTTAAACTATCCACTAGGGGGGGTTTCCGCCTTTTAGCAAACTCAAAGAATTACACTTGGTTAAGTAAATCAGATTTTTCTTGTGCGGGCATTTCCAAAGCACCGGATCTCATAAAGACTGAGGCAAGGAGTAATAATGAAAACGAAGGGTGGCTCCATCCCTCAGGGAGAGAATCAACCCCTTTGAAAGTTTTAACCGCTTATGGAAAACAGGAAAAGTCTCGCACTCCTGAATATTGACATTCTATTGGTTCACGCGCAGACTTCAGGGCAGGGCATAAAAACAAAATTCAGATACATTAGGGCGTTACAATCAAATTTAGTCTGCTAAAAATTTTCAGTATCAATGGGTTGGCTCTTTCCTATGCAACGTACAGCGTACAATGCTTCATTACCTTACAAATCCGTTGCTTCTGCAAGACCCGTGACATCCTCCCCTTGTCCAGAGATAAGGAAGAATTTAAATCCATGTAGAACCGTAATCGCAGCATGCAAGAAAAGACGAATTTTAGTTTCCTCATTGATTTTCTTCATAATCCTGGGACTTGTTTACTGGATCTGGCAACATAGACAAGCAAGAAAACGTTCACCCCAGACCCAATCATCATCACCACCGAGAGCAGAGAATCGCACCTTGCCAGGAATATCACTTCCTGCAAGATGGCCAGGTGAATCTGGACCAATTTCGATACATCAAGAAAATGCTATATCTCCAGAAACTGTTCAAACGGCACCCATAAACGATACATCGAGACTCGCTGGGGCACCTACTTCTGACGTACCTCCAGAAACTTAATCCTGTATCCTATTACAATCTAATGAAATATATGGGAATCAGTGATTGAAAAGGACTATCGATACTTGAAAACAGTCTAGGACGTATCGACGCCGGCATTTTGTCGAAGAGCATCGTGCAGCGTGATCTAGGGGTCTCCGTATTCATCCTCCTCAAATGCAAATTGGTTAGGCAGTTTACAAACACAATTATAGTTAGATCATCTACGTTAGACGTGAGAGTAACGCCACAGTTTCCCTCAGCATATGAACTCCATCGAATTCAGTTGACAGCACGAATAGCTTTCCCTCTTTCTCTCTCGCACTCCACTCTCCCGAGCAGACGGGACAATCGAACTACGTGTCTTTCAGATATTACTCCTTGTAATTCTTTTCCTCGGCATCCGTCCGTTGATTTTATCCGACTCTCAATCGAGGCCAGCTAAACGCGCACGGACTGCCGTAACGTTTCCATTAACGTCTCCACCGGGATACTTTCGTCCAGCGATAAGATAACATAGGTGTACAGAAGCTTCGAGAGAAATTCCGTTTGAAGCCGCTCGAGCGGTCCGCCTGGATATTCCATGGTCACTGCGTCCAAGTAAATTTTCAGAAATTTCGGTATGCTCTCCGAAGCATTTTCCACTGATAGATTTCTAAAGAGGATGGGACCTAGATCAATGGAGGCCGAAGAGTATCTCATGGTTTGCCAGTCGATTATCTTGAGGTCGATGGGTTTTCCATTCTCGTATTTAAACAGTAGATTTCCTGAAGACAAATCACCGTGGCAAATCGTCGAATCCTCCTTTACTTCTTCCGTTAATTCTTTTATCCTCTCATACAAATTTCGACTCGGAATCTCACCATGTTTCCTAGCTGGATCCGATTCCGGCAAAGACTTCAAGTACTCTAGAACCCTGTAAATTGAAGAAATAGTTGTCAGCTTGTCACTTCTCAATCTATAACTTGTATGCTTTTTGCACTACAATTTGTTTGTCTCTGATATTTGTATGATACAGGACAATACCATCCTGATAACTGATACGAGTCAAAACATGAAATGATTTACTTTAAGGAATCGTTCTTACCTGGAATGTTTTCTTGAAAATATTAAGGAGTTTTGATCGGTGAATAGAGTTTCGAGAAACTTTGCAAAAAATTCTCTAAACAAATTAAACTTTTCGGTTTTGAGTCGAAGGCCTCTCGCATGAAATTTTCCAATACGTTTAAGACACAACTCCAGGAGATCGTTATCCAATTTTCCATAAACTCGTTGATATCCTCGAGCTTCAAGATTCTCTAGAACAATGGCTGGTCTTCCATATCTTCCCATGTCCGAGAGATAACATCTTGGTGAAATTTCTATATCATATTTCATAGAAATTTTACTGTAGAACAATTCCTCGTTCTGGAATAGCTCGTAAGCGTTCTCATGTTGCGGCACAACTGGCAGGAGCTTTACGATCAATGAAAAATTTTTCTCTTCTCCAGAAAATCGTATAATCGCATCGACTTGATAAAATTCACATACTGTAGAGATCTCTAACTTCTGCAAAGGTTCCACGCAAACTGATTCGAGTTCCACGAATTCTCGTGAGCCTGCTTCGCAAAAGCAGCGATCGTGCACCATTTCCGCTATCAGTTCTTCTTTTATAAATTTGATGCTATCCTCTTGACGATTTCGCATTTTATCAGAGAACGATATTATTACCTAGTACCGTTGGAGAGTTATAAATTCACAGAAGAGAGGTGTAACGATAGTTTATTCACTTTCACTGAAACAATGTCCAATATGCTACTGCAAGCAGAATAAAAAAGTCTTATCAAGAGTTTGATAGTGACAGTTATGACCCGTACTATCAAACGTTCACTCCAAGATAAAGAATGTGGTACGGCTCAGTAGAAATACATTTTTCGATTAAGCGAATTTCTAATTCTAAGCAAGTCCTGAAAAACACCTGAAAGATTAATTATCACGAGTCGTCAGTGTAAATTGACGTATAATAGATGCCAAAAGATAGCAACAATAGGAAAAGTCACAAAGAGCGCAGTCAACCAAGTCTCTTGTGGAACGTTGATTCTAACGGCTGATGGGATTAGTGTGTCCAAAGGCAATAGCAATTGCGCAGTATAATCAGTGCTCGTCAACTATATCTATCGACATCTAGCTTCAAACCCGGATACTGCTAAGAGAGATACACGTATGCATGCGCGTATATCGTGAGGTCTTGGGCAGGGGCCAGTGAAGGAAAACCCGAGAGTTTCGTAAAAAGCTGCATATGTATTAATTACTGGGCTAATTACATCTTAACTCCACCTTAATCTAATGGCCGCCATGTTGTACGGTCGGGGTGAGAGAATCTGTGTCCGTCTGTCGTGTCTCTTTGCGGCCGTTATTATTGTGGGTACATACGTGTGCTTCCATAGTGCTCTGGATCCTGTCCTCTGCCACTCTCTTCCTACCGCACTTTCCTTCGTTCCTCGTCCTTTCCTTCCTTTCTTTTCTTTCTCTTGTTCTCCCGCCACAGGCTACGCTCTTTGCGCACATATTCGCATTCGTACTGTCTGGCCCCCGACCGCTCGCGTATCTCCGTCACTCTTCGGTGAGGTTCGGGAGGTCCCGCGGGGGCTCGGGGCCTCTCGGCCATACATTTCGTACACGATCTTCGAATGTCACGAACCGTTAATAACGAGAAGTTGTCAAAAAGCTATATCGACATAAAAATGAACCTCCAAATTTTCAGTACATAATCATAAAAGCAAATTTACCTGTTTCCCAGATTATACCAGAATGCAGTTAGTCAAGTGAGTGCAAATACTTTTCAGCAAGAATCCCAAAGCCCTCAGCGAGTACAGTGTGTTCGCAGTATCGGTGCAATGAATCAACAAGGTTTAGAATTTGATATATCTTTCTTAACTGATTCAAGTAACGCCAGAGTTCCTCCGTTTACAGGACCTTATCTGCAAAGTCCTTATTATCAAGGGTTTCAGTCCGATGGGTTTCCTTTAAATCAACAAAATTCCTGCCAGCCGTTTCCACATAACCCTTACAACGTCGTACCGTCACTAGGACAGAATCAACAAGTATTCTCTGCCGGTCACTTGCCTCCAAATTTTGCTGACCACTCTCGTCCCTATCTGGGAAACACGGCGCCTGTGTTAATATTTCCAAACTGTTGTCCTGCGAATCCTCTTTCCACAATCCCGCCACCCTTACCGCAACAACCCGTTACAACGTCCAGTTTACCGATAGCCCTGAATTATCCGTTACTGAGTGTCAATTACACCCCGGGACTCCCATTCTATTTTCCCGGCTCTTGTTATACATTTCCGATTACGTCGCCTATCTGCGATCCCTCGGCATGGCAAAAGGACAATAAGAATGGTTGCGCATGCTGCCAGAGGAGACACGAGTTATCGTCAGGATCGCAAAAGAATTCTGGCACGTCGTGTCGCGAAGACGCAAATGAGAATCATCGTTGTCACCAGGGTAATGACGGCACCATTTGCAATAAGAAGAACTGTCCATCCTCCATTAATTTACAAGCTCTCGTTTCGCAATTGCTGTCCCTACAAGGAATTGTTCCCTGTGCGGCGAGTAGAATAATTCTGAAGAAAATTCCTGGTTCTGACATAACTGCTCCTATAGACGAGACGGTGGCTTGCGCCCAAAAATCAATTGGTGCGCTTAACAAGGACCAACTTTTAGCTGAAGCCAGAAACGCACAACAAGTTAACGCCTTGATAAACCTTCATATGACAGCGAATCCGCCGTCAAATATAATACCAATCCTGACAATGGTTCAGCTGAAAGTGAACGTTCTGAAGGCGCAAGTGGAAAATCTTGTCAATCAGAAAATCGTAGAGAGTCAATCGCTCGGGGTGACGGCCAATAACAATTTAGATCCAGTGGTACTCTCGCTGAAATCGGATGCTGAATTGCGGGAGATTCTGAATGCACTGAGACAAAAGGAATCGGACGAAAGAGTCAGCATGAATTTTGCGCCCTACCATTCACAACGTATCATAGCCGAAGCTCGATTGACTAATCTTCAAAGTAAGATAAGCCAAGTGGAGGATGAAATGGAGAGGAGGAGGAACAACGCACTGCCGAGAACACCTCTTCGCCATCTTCCTCAGAATATTCCCAATTTTGGATCCGCCTTTGGTACAACGTTCTATACACTTTCCGAATCAGCATACACTACTATTACGGCCCCGGACGAGCAAAACTATCAGTCACCAAATCCATTTATAATCCAGGTTCGCAGTCCTAGGAAGTTGTACCTGAAGCCTCACGTGGGCAGCCCTGAGACCACGTATGCGTCAAAGACACGTCAAGCAGTGGAACCACGTTGCACCTGTAGCCCGGATGATGCTGAGAAAGGAGAGAATGAGGAAAACACTGTGACGTCTGGTAAGCTCACGTGCCAAACGCAAGAATCCATTGATGAGATTAACAAAGAACTTGATACTCTTCGTACAGATGCTGAAAATAACGTAGGCATGCATCCAGAAAAGAATCCAGAAGATTCAAATAAGATCGTACCGAAAATGTATTCGGGCGTTGGCGAGGAAAGTAAGGATGATTTTGGGTCAAAAGATAAGAATAGAGTTCAATTAAAGTCTGTAGAATTGGCGGGCGAATCACAGGAATCGAACAAATCAGGCGAATCGAATGAGCTATCTACGACGAAGAAAGGTCCAAAAGGGATTTGCAGTGGGGAATCGGAAAGTGAACTGGACGAGACTAAAGGGAATGAGAATTCTAGAGATTGGAACGAGTGAAAGGTTCCGTACCATATGTTCAAATTGTTTAGGCAGGAGAGAAAACGTAAAAGTGAAAAAAAGACAAAATGATTAATGACTTGGGAATTTTTTAACAAAAAAAAAGAATGGCGAGACACAATTCGCAATCAGACACGTACTTCAACTTGAGAATCCTCAAGATGACGTTGGGATAACAAACTTGAAAACCGTCGCTGTTCTCAGCGACAGTTTTGAAGGCAGTACGTCGACCTAAAAATGCTTTTAAAGAGAGACTTATTCGTTAGTTCAGTTGGATGATATATTTGTGTAATTTTATATTAATATATATTAAATTTCTTAGAGCCTAATGGATTGGTTACGATTAAAAAATAAAATAAATCGTCGTGCGCACACGACGAGCATACCAAAAGTCGCGACGGTATAAGAAATTCAGGATAAATATGAAAAATGTACAATCGTAAAAAATGATAATGTCAGATCACACTATTCAAGACGCTAGATATTAGGCAATCTAAACGACGATTTCAAAAATTACAGTAACAAAATTTAATTATAAAACGCAATCGACATTAACCTTTCACAGTTTCTTCTACGATCTTCTGCCGAAGCTACTGCCGACGTTGTAATGAGTTCGTGAACTTGACATAAATAATTCTAAGACTCCACTGTGCAAAAGCGACTTTTGATTAGACCTAAAACACGTGCTCTTCTATGAATCGCAATTGAGTTTCTCATTTCCTTGTTGTCTTTTCGTCATATTTTTTATGTAAATTCATAGACCCGATACTCGCACGATCCATAATGAACGATATCATAGGGTAAATGAGTAAATCTTATTTGCAAAATGGAGTCGAGCTTATTCAGCGACGTACAATTTTTCTAAAATTCTTTAACTTATCTTTACTACACGTATACGGTAAGAAATTCAATGGATAATTTTTCACGGGTACGGATTAACTTTTGTAGTTTTTGCGTTACGAAAGTTTACCACGCGTCTGGAAGCTCTCATTCCTGTCGTTGCATTTTTCGCTCATTGAAAATGCAGGCGTGTTTCTTTATTTTTATCCTGTAGCTCATCGGGGCGACGCAAATAGACATTCTCCTTAAATCTTTTATGAATATCAACGGCTCTTGGGATTTTTTTCCCTTCTTTCTCGACGAACAATTATATACAATAATATGTACAGTTACATTTACACCACTAGCAAAGATACATAATAGGATATCCCAAAGAGACAGAGAATTGAAATAATTCCTAAATACATTCGCAATAATTTAATTACTGATTAATACTTACTAGAACGAATCTTTGATTAAAATGAAAGTATGTATTTGACTACATATGTACGTGTTAACGTGCGTCTATGCCGTGTATAATATATCTAATGTACCATCAAATTCTCATGGCATTGAAACGTTGAGCCTAAAAGTAAAAACTAGATTTTCAAAGATCACGCGCAATCCACGTAAACGTGGAATCTTGTCGTGTTAAATGAAGTGACGGATAATAACGATAAATCGTTCTGTTGATGACGGAATGGTTAACAACTTGGGTCCCAATAGTCGACGTGATATTGAGCCACGCGATATACAGTGGAGTCCGTTTATAACGACATTCGGGGGAGACAGGAAAATGCCGTCGTACTAAACGGACGACGTAACAAGCAATGTGAAAATATGTAAGGATATATTTATGTTCTAAAGAGAAACTTGAGAGAGCAAGTAGGATGTAGTACGTGGCCGATCGTTACAAGCGGAGTCGTGACTACCGGACTCCACTGTATTAGAACCAATAAGTAGAGCCATGCTATATGTAGTCGTCTTTACGTCCAAACCTTTTACCAAAGGAACGTCACCGCGTGTCGTGCACATGTGCCATAGAAATATAACATGTTAGCCTGAGAAATACGTGAAACTATCGGCTAGACGTATTCGCAAATAATTGCAAAACAGAGGCCGCTGGTAATTTGTGGCTCTTTCGCCGAATAAGTGTTTTCACAAGCAATTTCGAAAGTGCAAGTTTCGCTTGTGTTTCCTAAAAATATCGTACGAAGGCACGATCGACGTTTTATAGTAGCTTCTTCTTGCATAATATTCGTCATATAAAAAGCAAAGGAAAGTACCCCCCCCCCACCCACCCACCCATTCCCACCCCGTAAAATAAACTAATATAACAATAAATACAAACAGCGACGTTGCTACGTTTATACAATATACAGTAAAAATTGCATTTTTCTTATCTGTTTCTTGTCCCCGAGTATTTAGAGCCACTACTGTTTTTGTCTCTGATTATAAAAATCTTCGTCAAACTCCTCCATCCCACTTTCCTGTCTTTTACAACTGCTCACACCATTATAAGTAAACTTATCTTACTCAATTCGCATTTTTTGTGCACTCGGCCTTTAGTTGTCCGAGTTTCGCCTTTATTTCGTGAAACGTAGGTCGTTTTTCTGGCTGAAGGTCCCATGCCTAGTAAAAAAACAAAAAAGGATTTGATCTAAAACTCTCGGTACTCGCAATACTTTTGTACTGACGTAACTGACGTGGTACAAAACATGCGTTTAATAAACAAGGAAGCTCACCTGGCGCATGATATCGTATACCTCGGGAGGACACCCATCTGGCGGTTCCATTTTGTAACCCTTCTCTACACATTTGACGACGTCGGCCAAGGGCTGCAAATGGGTTGATGCAAAGGCAGGATTAGCATATCAAGTACCGGCAGCCGTAAGGAGGCTCGATAGATGTTACTTACAATTCTCGGATAGGGTACACGACCGAACGAATAGATTTCCCACAAGAGAATCCCGAAGCTCCACATATCAGACTTATTCGAGAATTTCTGAAAAACGCCAGAGCACTCCATTTAAAGATAATCATAAGTGAAAGGTAGAAAAATGACTCGGAATCTCTGGAGCAGCAGATACTCACGTTCTGTTTCAAAGCCTCAGGGGCAGTCCATTTAATTGGCAGTTTTCCGCCGTCGAGAGTAAAATTCTCATCGCGGGCTAGGCCGAAGTCGGAAACTTTCGCCGAATTGTCCTCGGCAACAAGGACGTTTCTCGCAGCGAGATCACGATGCACGACATGTCGTGACTCCAGGTATGCCATGCCAGCACAGGTATCGCTGAACAAAATGTCAATCGAATCCAATAAGTGAGTATTCGCGTGGTCCGCGGTAGAAGATGCCAAAGATCGTGGATACTTACAATGCGAAATTGATTTGGTCCTTCTTGGAGACGTGTAGCCGTCCTCTGGACCTGAGATAATCCACCAGGGATCCCTTGCTCATGTATTCCGTGACAAGATACATGTGTTGATTATTGAATACGAGACCGAGGAGCTTGACGAGGTTGTCATGAATCAACGAAGTCATTAAACTCGCCTCAGCCAGGAACCTCTGCGCAGCCTCACTATTGTCCTTCAGCATTTTGACAGCCACCCTTTCGCCCCTGTAAACTCCCAGCAAGACATCCCCAAACTCTCCCTTACCTATGCACTCTCTCAACTCGAGTTCGTGAGTCTGAATGACCCAGCCCGCTTCAACGAAAGCCTTCGGATCGACGCAGAAGTCTTGCTTGCCCTGTTTCGGCAGGGACTTGGTTAACTGCGTGCAGAGCCCGTCTGCATCCTGCTCGTAGTGCTCGACCAGAAGGGCCAGGTTTTCAAAAAACTCTTCGTCATCGATGGTCAGTTGATTATTCTTATATTTGACCCGATAATGCTCGACACGTCCTTGATAGCAGACGCAGAGAGTGTAGTCACCGGGGAAGTTTGTCGATTCTCTTACTAGGAAGAGACCATCCTCTCTTGGTCGCAACAGTCTTTCAGCCGTTTCCCTTGAGATTTTCCCATGAAACCACCTGTAAAGTAGTATTATTGATAAATCTCTCTCGTTGCTCTTTTTAAATCATACGGGATTTAAGAAGACACGAAGAAGATCAAAGATGCAGTCGATCTTCGCTTCATCCTCCTTCTACTTACGGCATGGCATTGAGCTTGACCTCGTGTCTCGGATTGACCAGTGAGGTCGGCGTGTTGCCAGAATTCGTCGCGTTTGTCGGGAGGATTATCGGGGACGATAAGGCATTGGGGTGACTGGCTACGTTGTGGGGTGTCAAGTTCGAGTGCGTAGTCATGGTAGGAGATACAGGATGAGAAGGGACGTTGGGGGCTGTTAAATTAGAGGAAATCGGATGCTGTGGCTGGCTTGTGTTCTGGATCAGGGAGTGGGACATTACACTTGAGGGGATGGTGTGATGATTCTGATTCCCATCGAGTTTCGCCTGGTGCGTTGCTGCTGAGACGTTCGGGTAGCCACCGCCGGCATTGTGGTACGTTGGCATTACTGCAGCTGTCACGGTCGGCTGTATTAATCTCTAGACACGTCGCGAAGACGAGAAAACAAGAGTCAGTCGTACGTATCTCGAGACATGGGTCAGGCTCTCTAGGAGTATTCCCATCTTGTATCGACAGTATGTAGATAGCTCTAATCGTCTACATTGTGCACACTCACCAAAGTCGAGTTCTGCAAATTCTGGCTCATTCTCGGGCACGACGTCCGATCATCTTCTGAAATTATAAAGAACATTGGTTTTCATTGCAATTCCTCACTGTCGCCTTGGTGCATCGCCACCAAATACATTTTACCCGGGGAGGGATTTTTATAAAAGAAGTTTGAATTGCTATCAATTTACGAGACATTCTTACTTATACTTGACGATCGATCAATTGTCCGTGATTGGTAGCAAGGGGAGCTAGAAACTTGATTGCTTAACATGCAACGAAAGAAATCCTTATACGCCAGAGGAACTTGAATCACGATTCTTTGGATGTGTGAACTCCCATCGTTAGGATTCATATCCATTCGCGTAGCATATACACACGTGAAAACGGTACGCACTGCGATGAGTCATTCGCAGGCATTCCCCGCTACACTCGGCCGGACAAATTCTCATTGACAACAACACAGAAAATTTCGTTGACAAGAGCATTAACTTTTCAAAGAATATGAATAACAGTCGGCTGATTCGCGAGGAATGCCACTTCCGAATTGAGCTGCTGTGTTTATTTCTTCAAGAATAACAACAAGTGGACGGACATATGAGTAATCTGACATACTGACACTATATCGAAGGATGTTTTCTCAGGGATAAGGCAAATTATTTCAAGAGCAAGCATAGGAATAATTCACGTGGCGTTTAGCCTTGGTTGCGTCGATGACGTTTGTTATGTCACATAAAAATGTACAGTAGCGGCCGTACATACTAATATCCGAATGGACCTTACATAATCCTGAGCTAAGCGAGACCATAGCTTGGCAGTGTCACAACTTTTTTTTAAGCTTCTTTTGTCTCAGCGTCATCGCACAATTTCTTATCACCCACTGAAATATTCTGGCAATCTCATTAGAGTTTTCAAAGATATTAGGAATGCCTGGCGAATGAATTATTGGACTCTTACGTAACCCTGGTGCAAGGCATCGCTATTTCCTGGGAAGAACTATTGAGGAGGGTTCTGGCCTAGAACTCCACTGCATATGCATTACTTGCATGCATCCCACGATTACGTAACTCCTCGTCTTTAAGCAAGGTCGACGCGACCATCAAAACTGAGTGCAAGTTCCGTGCGCGTGTCAACGGTGCGTTCGGCTCGGGCTGTTTTGTATATCTCGTAATGCACTGCTGGCGATTTATCAATCGTCAGAAGTACATTTGGCATAAAGCGAGTCCTTAAGACGTGGATAATCGCTGATGCCCCTTTTTAAGGAATCCCTAGACGTATTCCTTCCCCATTTCCATTCCTCAGCCTTGAAATCTAATCGCAACTAGTTCGTGATTCATAATATTATATTTGCACACGTACATAATGGGGAGATCACACATGCAGCAGTACACGTCTGCGTATGCATCTGTAAAATCGAGATAATTTGCAAAGAGACTTGGCATATGAAATATTAGGAGTGATTTCGAGATTTCTATAATATATTAACAATACGGCGAAAAGAATAAAGCACTAAGGTACACGGCTTCGCCGTTTATAACGTTAACAGTAACCGGTACTGTACTATGACCTGCCGTTTTACATCTGGCGCCTCGCACGAAAAAGCTATGCATGTATGTACCGATCAGTTCCGTCATACGCGGACGATTAAGATGTAGTTGTCATTGCTTGATTATTTTTCTCACTTTTATTTAAGAGGATGAAGAATACTCGAGATTTCTTTCTTTTTGTCCAATCTCAATGGTCCTCCCGCTAGCAACGTTCGTGTTGTTTTGTTGTGTCGTGCGATTAGGACGTATATCGTTGTAGAAGAACATGGTAAGAGCATCGTGAGAAGACCCCATGGCACAGACCAACGGGACGTGTTATCTGTCTTATTACCTGCTGTTCACTTATTTAAATTATTGTTATACGGCCAAGAAAGTATATATGCTTTATTCCGAAATAATAAGTCAATTAATCGCTTTAAATTTATCTGTTATTGGTCGTTACTTAGAAGAAGAATTTAATCGGGCTTTGTTAATATCCAAAAGAGATAAAGGAGATACTTAATATACGGCCTATCGACGTGTATTAATAATTTACGTAATTCTGTTTGGAACTCAGAGACATATCTTGTTATTAAACAGAAACCTAATGGCGACCTATACAGAGTTGGTCGTTTAGCGAGAAATAACCTAGGAAAGGTGGTATCTTGTCGCGTCTCTATCTGAGTTATAAAAATGGGATGACCGAGGAGGATGAGAATAAGTTTGAAATTAAATTAATTAAGGATCTCAGGTGCGTGAGAAAATGACTCCTCGCTGGAGATATATATATATCGCGAGAAAACAATCGGCGCGTTTCTTCTGGATCTTCGCATGCGCGGAGACCCATGTTGTTTGCTCGACGCTCGGGAGGAAGAGCGCTCCATTTGCGAAGTACAATTAAGCATTGTAGCTAAATTATTCGCCGGCTACGGCATGTACTACCCGTTAACCGCATAATTAGCCCATTGCTAATTGCTCGAGTTCGCATAGGACTCGTAACCGCGTAATATACAGTCATGTTCCTTTGAGAGGATAGTCTTCTGGCCTAGATAAATAGATAAATTAGAAGATCGTTCTTTTCATGGGGTTTCTTCAAGTTCATGAGATCTAACAAAACCTAATAATTATAGGACATATTTGTAACGCTTTATTGGCTGTCCCGATATAACTTTAATAGGTCGTTGATATCTCTGATGAATGAGCAGTCAGTTAATACGGGATGCTAATACGATGGATTAGTTGCATGGATCACTTATGCGAAACTCGTTATTTTAGAATATCTAAGCAAGTGGTAAGAGAACATGTGGGCCAGGCAAACTTAATGTACTGCCAGTAATAGCTACTAGTAAAGAGAGCACCGGGATTCTTTGGCTACTTCGTACCAAGTAGCCTCTCTCCTCGTTTAAATACTCCGTGTGATATTTAATTTTTGAATTTCCACAACTGTCTAACTTTTTGCAAACTATCTTAGAACTGTGCATCTAGTACTTGGGTATTTATCAACGTTTTTTCCCTATTTTCATTTGTCAGCATAGTTAAATGAAAATTTTCCCAAGATTGAAGTCGAATTCATCGGAAAACGATGCATCCGCGAATGTCATTTAAATAACGCCCACTTCTCTCTCTTTCTCTCTCTCTCTCTCTCTCCCTCTCCCTCTCTCTAAGAAAACACGAGCACTTTGATTTCATCCAAAAATGAGAATAACAAAACATCTATTCATCCAAATTTCTTATACTATGGGAGAAGCAAATAGTCAATGATGTTGCCTCCGCACAGAGTTTTATGTATTCAACGTCGTACTGTGAAAATGTGAAATTACCATAGATTGTTACGAAAGGAATGTAAGTGTACCGAGAAGAACATCTTTCAGAGCACTCGAATTATCAGGGTCAAAATTTTGCGACTCACTTACCATGAAAATGATTTTGGATAAAGCCAACCGAAACTCCGAGCTCGACGTTGTCACTTTCGATCCTTAGCGGGCGTCAAATATCCGTAAAAATTGATTTCGGGTAACAGCACAAACACAAAACCTTACGGAACGTCACACACTCATTTTAGTCGAGCAGCCATTTTACTACACAAAGTTCGAACCAGGAGCCCTTGATTTACCGGAGAAACGAGAATGGCGTTGATTTTATGCAGCCATACCATGAACTATCCACACTCAAGAGGTAGAGGATATGACTGGCTTGCATTTCTTGAAGAATTCCTGTTACCGACATACGTAGTAGAGATACGAAACGCTATGCGGCATGGCTATCGAAGCACCACCTATTCATCCATCTATGAACTATAGTGGTTTCCAATGTATACATATATTTATACTGAATTGCTGTTCTGCAGATTCTACAACATTAGTATGAATTAAAAATCTTTGTATGGACAAGAACCTTTTTCTGATATCGCACTTGTTGTGTGTCATATACTTTGCTAGTTTATACATAAAATGTACGGTACAAAGATAAGTAGGAGCATGGTCACTTGCAGAGATCAGTAGGGAGATGCACAACGCTACGGTTTTAGGCTATACCAAAGACATGGCGCTAAATCGTAGCGGCAAGTCCGGGAATAGAATTTTGCGACCATCGCCTCCGTCGATAATGCATATCCCGTCGTAGCCGAGCTGAACGTGATCACGAACGGGTAGCCTGGCGGGCAGAGAATCTCCACAACTTACAACTGATTCCCAGAGCAACCCTTAGAAAGAGGCCGCTTATCAGATATTGCCTAAATCTTTTTTTTTTGTAATCTTAAATTCAAATGTACAGTGTAAGCTCGATAAGATTTACTAAGACAAAAGCCAGTACCTTATGCCTGCCTGCGTTAAGGAGTGCAGCGATGCGGTGCTAGCTTCCATCATTATTTAACAATAGTTCCAAGCGGAACTATGGTCCCAACATTGAGTACTTGAGAGAACTATTTCGGAACTGTTTGAAGCACAATATGAAACCAACACTGAAAGCCAGCTCCTTACGCATACTTGCATTAAAGCATATGGTGCGACTAGTATCCCTAATAGGTATTTCAACGATGTTATGTAGCAGAACTATTGTTAAAACCTATCAGGAACTATAGAAATTCTAGTT